AATGCTCGAGTGGGACTCACTCATCTAGAATAGCTGCACCTCACCCAACTGCAGAATAACTGCAAAGAAGCATCTGATTCAAAAACAAAAGGATTCATGTTCTCAGAGGGAGGCAGTAGCTTGATTTATACAATATCCTGAAGCCATAATGCAGCTGGTTTGAGTTTGGCTATCATGCTGGGTGAACTTAGCCACAATTGTTTGTAAACCATAGTTCATAGGTTAGTGTGTTGGGTGAACCCAGCCAAATGGAGCAGCGTGGTGGTTAGGGTGCTGGCTTAGGTCTGTGGAAATGCTTTAGGTGAACCAAATTGTGGTTCATTCAACAAATTATGGGTTAGTGATATGTAGTAGCACTGTATAGCTTTCCTTCCTTTGGGGAAAAAAACCTTTTGACATTTTTTCTTTCTGTTGTCCCCACAACCATTACTAACATTGCAACTTGAGTCAACACATTATGTTAAATCTTATGGTTTGCTTGCTTTTGGATTAGTGCATTATGTAAACCCAACTCTTGCTATTTGCAAACCATAGTTTATAGCTTAGCACAACATGCGAAGCCAATAAATTTGGGTTATCCAAAAACCATGATTATACAAATTGTGGCTTGGCAGTGTGTGAACTTAACCTGTAAATCATTTGGGGTAGGAATGTACATCTTTTTGCCGCTCATGATGGTGCTTTATGAAATCTCATTTATGTAGGACAAACTACATCTAGTTTAAATTTGAAGTATTTGTGTGCAAGACAATTGCAAGAATCCCAAATCTTCTTTTCTGTCTATCCATCAAAAACAAATTGTGTTCTATAAAAGCAGCAATAGTACTGAATGAAAAACAGTTTGTTTCCCATTACTGGCTGAGAACCCTGGAGTTTTTCCTGTACTAAGTACATTTTCTTTTCACTAGGAGATGCTCAGGAATTAATGACAAAGTCAGGGTTCAGTCCCCAAACTGAAACAGGAGAAGCCCGAGACTATCTGTGGCTGACGATCATGAGTCAAACCAAAGAACATGAAGAGTTTAAAATAATAACATTAGTACAAGTGGGACTAGGAAGCCAGACTACAATCTAAAGGTGTTTAGGGAAGAGTGGAAACCTAGAGCTTAGATCAGTGTTTCTCAACCTTGTCCACTTTAAGATGTCTGGACTTCAACTCCCAGAATTCTCCAGCCAGCATGGTTGGCTGGGGAATTCTGGGAGTTGAA